GGTTTCTCATAGATCCCGAATGGGTCGGCCAGTGTGGGTGCCACGTTGAGTGCTCCCCATGATTAGGGTTTTGATCGTGTGTTTTAGGTTTGAGGAACGAACGTTAACTTTTCGTATAGATACCCACAGACGGCGCCAATGTTGGTTTTATGAATTTTGGGCAGTCAAATAGGAAGAATATAGGGAAAATATATGGAAAAAAAAGTAGGAACTTTATACTGATGAGTATTGTTGGTTAATAATGAAAGTTGTCCCCCTCTCTTCTATGTAAGGGGTTTATTTATACATATTTTGGGCCTAGAGCCCCACAAGGAATCAGAATCATAGACAGCCTCATATTGGGAGTCATAGTTACATAATAAAACCTAATTCTATTATAGTAAAAATAGTGAGTCCAATTCTAATTCTAATTATATTAGAAATAACATACTCATTCATTGACAAACTCTTGGGTTGCTCTTTCATGTACGTCCTTCTTGGGCTTCCACGATCCAATTGCTTTTCTTGGGCCGGTCCATATGACCCAGGCTTAGTATATTATCCATCAATTACTAATACACCAATCATTATTGCATGAACCATGGTCCACACAATTGTGTGGACCATAAATAAAAAGTACATTTTTAATATACTAAGGGTACATTATTTATGTACGTAATGTACATTTTTTGAAAGTACATTTTTAATATACTAAGGGTACATTATTTTATATAATGTACCTTCAGTAAAAAAAATAATGTATTTTTATATAATGTCACATCTTTTATGCGGGGGACACTGCCAGGGCTGTATGGGGATTTTTTATGGGATCACTCGGCCTGCGATTCAGTCATCGGGGTATACGGTCACTGTTGACTGGGTGGAAGCGGGTGGTTTCACATAACCGTCTTGTTGCTTTTGTTATTTGCAGGTTGCCTTAACTCTTCCTTTGGGAGTTATGGAAGCACAGGAACACATGTTTGCATGGCAGAGGGCCACCGAGTGTACCTCGAGTGGTGTATGGCGTTGCCAAAGGGGTGGCAGAATGTCTCTTTAGGCGATGGTCGCGGGAGCACATCCTACCACCAAATTGGCCTGTCATTTTGTCCTGAATAGATTCCACTGCCCCGCGAGGCGTGGTTTGTGCTGTTAGATGGGATCCCCCTCCGGATGGTTCTATAAAGCTCAATTTTTCATACTCTGAGTCGTTGGGTGGGACTGCTGCCTTGGTACGTAATCGAGGGAGGGTGATTTCTGCTACGGCCTAGCCATTTCAGCAGTCGATGGGTTTCGGGATTTTTTTTCATGTTATGCACCGCTGTCTTGAATGGTGTTTAGCCGAGGGTTTTAGGTCTCTGGTCGTAGAGTCTGTATTGCCTGAGTTTAATGGCTATGTTGACCCCTCCGCTCCTAGTCAATGGGTCTTTGACTCTGAAGTGTCACAGCTCCGGTTTCTTTGCTCCTGTGCATCTGTTTCTATTCTTCAATGTTTGTCGCATAGTAATCTCCCTGTCGCTGCATTGGCAGATTGGGTTGGGGATAAGGATGGAGAGTTTACTTTTCTTAATTTGTTGGACTTACCGCCGACGGTGCATGCGTTGCTTGTTCATGATGATGTCCCGTCGGTGGTCTTTGATTACAACCCGCCTTGAACTGATGTTTTTCTTGGGGTTTTGCTTTTGATGAAATGTAACAAATTTGAAAACAAAATTGAAAAAAGAAGTGAAGAAAAAAGAAAAAAAAAAAAAAAGAGAAAAAAAGAAAAGAGAATCAAAAATAAAAAGAGGAGTGAAAAAAGAAGAAAAACAAAAAAGGAAATGAGATGACGAAAGAATTGAAAAACAAAGGAAGAAGAAAGGGTAAAATAAAAAAAAAAAGGAAAAAGGGAAGTGAAGGGAAAGTACTACTTGGAGGCAATGATGGCTTGACTTTATGTCAGGTCTAGCTTCAACAATGTAGGTGTCAGCGGTACAAGAGGCACCCTAGTCCAGGCTAAACGGTGGCCGGGCAGGATATATCAAATCCGTTGACCTAGTCAGGCTTGCTGCTGGCCAATAGTAGCTGAGTCCCTTCTGGGCTCCGGGTGAGGTGGGATATATGATGGGGGTTGCCTTTGTTCGCGTCTGCCTGTTATTCCCTTATACACTGCCTTTCAAATCATTATTTTGAGCTGTATTGGATTAGGAAATGTGGCGCTTGCTTGTTCTGTCACGTTTTCATTTTGCAGGTCTTCTTTGGCTTCTGAGGTATTGCTAGTCTTAGGCTTATTTGGTTTTGCCCTTGTGGGTTTCTTAAAATAGACCACACCTCAACGTTGGTGCAAGCGGTAAGAAATTGCATCCTAGCCCAGGCTGAACGGTGGGCGGATAGGGGTTTATCAAATCCGTTGGCGGTAGTCCAGGCTTGCTGCTGGCCCATAGTAGCTAATCCCGTTAGGGTTCTGGTTACTGTTCGTTGCTGGTGCCGTTGGGGAGGACTGTTGCTATTGGCTGGCCTGTGCATGTGTTGGCCTGCGTGCCTGTATTTTTTTTGGCCTGCGAGCCGCTTTTCTATTTGCCTCATTTTTATTAGCGGAGGTGTTTTAGGCCTGCGTGCCTGTATGCCCAGCTCTTTTTGGGCTTCCTTTGGTTGTTTGCCTTGTTCTAATAGTTGGGCAACTGACGTTGTATCTTTCTATCCTTGTGAGATAGACCAGATATCTTACAAAATGGCCTCAGCCAATAGGTCGGGACGAGATGTGGACGTGAAACGTTGCGGCCGTGTTGGCACTGTTGCATCGTTGCATTGTGGTGCAGAGTCGCGGCATTGCAACATTGTTGAGGTGCGGCATGGTGGCGCAATAGTATATGGTGGCACGCAGGTACAGACTTTTATCCGAGAAATAGTTGTTATGCTGCTGGATTCTGCGAAAATTGGTGAAGCCAATAGGGGGATTCTGCGCTTCCATTTCAGCACCCTCTTTTATTTATTTTTCCTCTTCATTTATTATTCTTTTGATCTGGCCTATTTAGTTGCAATCATTATTGTGTGGACCATGGTCCACACAAGTTGTATGGACCATATTTTGCCTACTGTAAATAATGTACATTCAGTACAAAAATAATGTATATTCAGTACAAAAATAATATACATTTAGTATATTAAAAATATACTTTTTATTATGGTCCACGTAACATTGTGTGGACCATGGTCCACACAATAATTTGCCATTTAGTTGGGCATGAGTCCATTATTTTATTCCTTCTTTCTTCAGGCATGGCCTGTTAGGGCTTGGGTCCATTCTTTATTTAGTTTCTTTAGATTTTTATAAGCCTAAAAGGGCTCAGTATGTCTTTTGGTAACTTTTGGGACCATCAGTTGTAAGACATTTTATTTCCTTTATTTAATAAAGCTTTTGTTTTGAAAAAAAAAATAGAAATAACATACTCATTCCTTGACAAACTATTGGGTTGCTCTTTCATGTACGTCCTTCTTGGGCTTCCACGATCCAATTGCTTTTCTTGGGCCGGTCCATATGATCCAGGCCTAGTATATTATCCATCAATTACTAATACACCAATCATTATTGCATGAACCATGGTCCACACAATTGCGTGGACCATAAATAAAAAGTACATTTTTAATATACTAAAGGTACATAAATAAAAAGTACATTTTTAATATACTAATGGTACATTATTTATGTACGTAAGGTACATTTTTTGAAAGTACATTTTTAATATACTAAGGGTACATTATTTTATATAATGTACCTTCAGTAAAAAAATAATGTACTTTTAATTTAATATATTAAAAATGTACCTGATATTCATGGTCCACACAATTGTGTGGACTATGGTCCATGCAATAATTTGCCCTAAGAACAAATTGCACTTTTGGTCCTGTGACTATTAGAGTGATGATAGTTTGAGTACGTGACTTTTAAAACTCTTAATTTAGTCCTTTAACTATGCAATTCTTAGCAAATTTGGTTCTGTCGATCAAATTGCCGGTCAATTTTAACCGAAAAAATGTAATTGGATTCAAATTTTTTTTACGAGGGTAAAATGGTCATTACAAGGGAAAATTCCTCCGGTCGCCGACAAAAGTATTGAGACCCCAAAATATGTGTTTCTAACACCTAATTTCTCAGGATCACCTGCAATTTCATGAAATTCATAGATGAGCAAAGGAGCTGGGTTTCACATTGTGAAAGTCATAGATGAGCAAAGGAGCTGGGTTTCACATTGTGGATACTCCATGCTGAAGTTTTTCAGCTTCTGTCCTCATCAGTTATCTCCTAATCCATACGCGGCGACGTGAATGATGTATTTCTTGCTTCCGCAACTGCGGCGGCTTCATCCCTGGCAGGGATGACGCCATTGATTTTGCCAGCGAGGAAAGGTGGAAATTCACAAGTAAAAGAGAAAGGAGGGAAGGAGAAATAGAGGAGCTTAGGATTCTCAAACAACATGGGCGGCACTTTTTTCTCTAAAAATAATAATTTTAATTTTAATTATTAAAAAAACGACACGTTGACTCTTCCTATCAATGTGCCATTCTTATCGACAGGGAAGAGAACAATAATGAGCAGTAATCGCACGAGCACAAGGCTAAAAAGGGGGTTGAATTGGCGGCTAAGATGGAGGAGCAGGTGATTTCATCGTCATCTGATGCGAAGAAAAAATCTCTCTGGGCGTCGGCTCTTCGGTGGATCCCTACCTTCACTGATCACACCGTTGCCGCCGCGAGGCGTCTTCTATCTCTCGTCAAGTACAGAGGAATTTTCACCCATTTTATTTTCTCATGCAATGACCATTTTACCCTCGTCGAAAAAAAAATCGAACCCAATTACGTTTTTCCGATTAAAATTGACCAACAATTTAACCGGGGACCAAATCTATTAAGAATTACATAGTTAAAGGACTAAATTGAGAGTTTTAAAAGTCACGTGCTAAAATTATCAACACCCTAATAGTCATAGGACCACAAGTGCAATTTGTTCCTCTTTGCCCTAATACACGCGGTGAATCTCACGAAAATTTATCCTTTCTTTTCATAAACCTCCTCTGATGCTGATTTCTTCTTCTTCATCTTCTTCGCCGTTTTTCCCTTGAGTTGCTCGCTCACTGTTTACTGGTCAGTACTTCCGCTCTCTCTCTCTCTCTTCTATCTTCTCTGTATCTATGTGGTCCACTTTGCTGTGCAGCTGTGTTGAAATTTATGGACTGTCTGATAGGTCGAGTAGCAATCGCTGTGTTGTGAGTTGTGTTCTTTCTGATGCTGATGGAATTATTCCCCCTAGAACTCGGTTTGTTGAATTTACTGCTGAATATGTAGAAGAATTGTGGGTTTTCCCCATTTTTGGTTGGGTTTTGCTGAGGAATCGGTTCTTAAAGATGGTCAACTGGCTGTGGTTGGATTGGTACCATGAATATGCGTTAGGGTATTGTTTATATGGGAGGGAGAGAGAATGGGTGAAGTAATACGCTTATTGTACTGGACTGTGGTCTTGCTGGGATTTTAGGGCTTTTATAATTAGTTTCTGTAATTGGGTCATTGTTGTAGTGCGATCTAATTGGGGCTCTCTTTTGGTGCTAATTCCTAATGTTTGTTCCTAATTCATAAAACCTGCAAACGAACCTGCAACACCATATGATCATATGCAAACGAACTTGCAACACCGTATGATCATATGCAAACGAACCTGCAAACATATATTTTCCAGAACATATAATCATATGATCTGTGTTGCAGGTTCGTTTGCACAGCATTAAAATATGCACTTTTTTTTTTTTTTTTTTTTTTTTTTTAACTTTAACTTCTCCCCTGTTAACTGTGATCTAATTTTACAGACTATGGCAAAGGATGGGAGTGGGAGTGTGGTCTCTTTGCAAAGGGAACTTATATTGACGAATATTGGTTATTTGGCCGAGGACATTGCATTTACGAGCCAAATGATTTCTTGTGACCGTTTGCTTTTAGAAAAACTGGAGGAAAACAAAGTTGCACACAGGGATACTTTAAGCGCGCTGAGTGCCCATTGCATGAGGTTGGAGGTTGTGAAGGGTAATCTTCTCACTCAATTGCAATATAAGAGACGCATTATCCAGGTTTTAAATGCGAAAAATGCTTCTCTGAGTGACACATGCTGGACTCGGGCGAGTCGAAGTCAACTGATTATAAATCAAATCCGGAGCCTCATAAATGTAGAGGCACCAGGGCTGGAGCGTATGCAACCGCTTTTAAATCAAATCCAGAGCTTGGTAAATGCAGAGGCACCAGGAGAGGCAGCAGAGGCACCAGGAGAGGCAGCAGAGGCACAAGGAGAGGCAGCAGCAGATTGTTTTTCATATTTTTGAAAAGCACAAGCAGAAGGTTATTAATTGAAATCAGAGGCAAAATATGAAGTCTTTTTGTTCACACAGGCCCAAGTTACATTTTTTTTTTTCTTTAACACTTGCCAACGAACATCTCTTTACTTTACTGCATCTGAAACTTGGGTTTTGGAAATAATAAGTACACTGCTAGACTGTTCATTTTTTGTCACACTTAGAACAGAAATAGTAAATATCAAACAGCTCCTTATCGAACAACCCATTATTGTGTTGTTTGGTAAAAATCTTTTCATAGGCATGAAACCTAGTAAACCTAATACATGATCATGACACTTTTGAACTGTTTAGCCTATTACAAATGTACATAATTGTTATAAAGTTGATCATGGTCCACGAAATGCTATGTGGATATCCCCATCAAAGAAGAACATCCATTTCGCTTGGGGTTTGTAGCTATGCAAGTAGTCATTCAAAATCAAGAATTAGTTGTGGTAATAGCCATCGAACCTCTTTTGCTCTATTATTATTATTATTATTATTATTATTATTATTATTATTATTATTATTATTATTGTTATTATTATTGTTATTATTGTTATTGCAAAATTACTGCTTGTTATAATATAATTGGCCCTGTTAGCTGATGGCTGATTGTGTTAATTAGAGGGTATAAATAGTTGATAACATTAGCTTATTTTAGAAAAGTGTTTGGAAAATTAGAGTTGTTTGGTATAATTTCTTTTCTCAAAAAACTAATTGAAAAAGTTGCTTGGAGTAGCTTTTTGAATTTTAGCTTTTTGGAGTTGCAAAAAGCTAATTAACCAAACATTTATATTGATATTTTAACTAAATCAAACAATTAATAGTTGTCAAATAAGCCAAAATTGGCAAATAACCCAATTTTTTACCAAACAGGGCCATTATTATTATTATTTTTTTAATGAATGCTAGCTTGGTGGTAGAAACTGGGTCCGTTTACTAATAGAAAGTTGTTCTTTGTTTTCTGTTTTTTAAATTTTTCAGTTTTCATTCTCTGTTTTTCATTCTCTATTTTCTGTTTAGAAAACTTGTTTACTATCAGAAAATTGTTCTCTTTTTTCCGTTTTCTAATTTTTCAGTTTTCACTTTTTTTTTGAAGGTTTTTCAGTTTTCACTTAAAATTTAGTTTAGATAATATTAACATGGTAGAAGTGTCAAATATACTCATCTACTACTTCGAAGTGTTCAATTCCTCCCACCATCTAAAATATATGGTAATTAGACACACTTTTTAAATTTGTTTGATTCCTCCCACCTGGTTGACCTGGAAATAAATTTAATGACATGGAATTTAATACTGTCGGTGGTGAGATCAGCACCTTCATCACAAGCAACCTCCACCACCACCTTCCGCATATCATCCCTATCAACCTCCAACAGTGTGAATCATTGTTTCTTGCCAAGGGTAAGCTCTGGTTTTCTACTTCCTCTACCGCCCGAACAGCCCACTTACGCCTTAAACCCTCTCCACCTCTCCCAATTCAACCTATCTGTAACACTCCCGATTTTCAGCATAATTTAAAACCATTAAATCATACGAGATAAGGGTAAATCTATCATTAATATCAAACGGAGCGAAAGCTACACATAAGTGTTCGGGGTGCTATGCCACATCTAAGCTTGAGAACCTAGATGCATATGCTAAAACTAACTAATCAAGGCAAAAAACATAATCATTATCCAAATACAAGCATAGCTCACAAGCTGTCTAACTAAACTAGAACTAACTAAGCTAGGAACCGCAGCTCCGCCTAGCGCTCTCGGACAACTACTCTATACCTGAAAAACATGTGATGTAGCGACCGTTAGCGAATAATGCTAAGTAACCCACTCCCACGCGTTGAGTACAATACATAGATATAAGGAAATCATTTTGAGACTTGGGAATACATAGATATAATCCTAAGAAACTCTAGCTTAAAACCAGGATCATGACTCGTGACATATCATTGATATCAACACGTTAAGACCACATCAAGATACAAGCATGCAAACTATGACTATAAGACACGACAACGATAAGGGACACACAACAGACTATGACCACAATACAAGACAACAATAACAAACAACAATAAGATCACATAACAAAACACGTCCATGTTCCAATCTTTACTCCTCTCTATCCTTATATCAATTCGAACCTGTACTCCAGACGACCCTGTACTCCACCAGCCTTATCCCTCCGGAGCAAAGCTCCCCTCCAACATGACCTCCAACATACCACCAATCTCTCAGCATATGTAGTGCCATTCAATAGGTACCGCAACACCATAACATAAGCACACGCAGTGCAATATCATCAGCACACGTAGTGCAAACCTGATCGTACCGTAGCACAATAATCTAAGCACACGTAGTGCGATAAACCACGAACATATCTTTTCTACCAATCACATATCTTTTCATCACCCATGGACATCACCACGACATTCAAGACTCGACAATGACTCCAACAAGGGATAACCGGGGAGAGGGATACATCATGCATATTAACTCTCAACAACAGGGAATATCAATCTACGCATACGACCTACGGGGAATAATCATGAATTAATACTTTGGACCCACACAATACAATTTTAGACCTCATGCATAGACACTACTCACAAATCCCAATTACGATACCTAGGACATCATTCTAGACTCACAAACATCAAAGAAGACGCTCCGGCACACGGGGTTCGACCAACGGAGACCAACCGACCACTGCGCTGCACCGTACTAGCGGGTGATGCGGCGGGATGACTACCTCCCGCCGGACTACCATTTGGCGGTGCACCTTTTTTCAGCGGGTGGCTGTCCACCCGCCAGCTCCCTGCTAGGACATTACCCCCGTTCCAGCGGGTAGTCAAGTGGGAGTTCGTCCCCCCACCGACTACCCGCTGGAACAACACCCTTGGCAACCTTCCCCACCTCAGGAATTCACCAATTATGCCCAAATTCAAGTTCAAACCCACCCATAACACACATCAACAATTATAGGGACTTGAATACATAGAACGACTCGACGAACAACACAATTGGACCCTAGAGACAAACTCTAAACGTACTTAAACACAATAACATGCATATAATCACCCAAGAATATCAAGAACATCAAGAATATCAAGAAACCATCATACAAACCCTAAAGACAATCTCTATCAAGATATAATTACAAGATCACACATTCAATCATTCAAGAAGCCAATAAATAAAAGATAGCACGGAAAACAGGTTTTGTAAGACATGGGTTACCTCTTAGCCTTAATTAAACCTCCCACAACTCCTAAGATCTTTCCTCAAGGTCTTCTTCCCAAGAGATCTTCTCCTAAGCTTGGCGATGGGGTTTTTTTTTTTTTTTTTTTTTTTTTTTTTTTGTTGGGTTTTTGGTAGGGATTTTCGTGTGAAGGTGAGAGAGATGGGGGAAAAGGGTCCTAAAGGCTTCCTAATCCTCCTTCTATAGCTTTAGGAATCCTAACAAAAATATGAATAGGAATGGCCCCACTTTCTTTATTCTAACAGGCTTTAAGGGCTCTAATATTGGGAAGGGTCCACGGTCCTCCATGGACCACATTAATTAATTAAGGGATCCTGACCGAATTACATCCTTCTTAACAATTGTTTAACGGAATTAATTAAATAATTAATCTGGGTTTAAAGGGCGTAACACGGGGTGTTACACTCTTCCCTCCTCACAAGAAGCTTTGTCCTCGAAGATTAGGGGCAACGAGACTGAATGGAACAAGCGGTTAGGAAAATGAGTTGTGTGGCAAGTTATGGTTAGCAACCTAAGGGTTGCTTGCCATGAGGATTTTCACCATGTCAGCCTGACCAAAACTCGTCCCCGAGTTGGCTGGTTTACTCAACTTGATTCTAGACATAGCACAAGCTAAAAGCGTCTATTTATTGAATGTTCACGCTTATGGTTCCTAAGTAGACACGGAACTAGTCCAACGGATTAAGAGGAAAGCTGAGGTTTGGAAATAGGTTTACCTTGGTTCCCAGCGCCTGAGCTGGAGGCTCCCGAAGGTCCGCGTGCCCCTAGTATGGTTTCTACCACGGACAACCTGTGGTCCAATGACCTAACCGAAATATTCAAAGACGAGAACCCTTCCTCCATGATTCGGTTTTGCCTCGTAAGTTGCGCTAGGATCCGATCATTAGTCGACATCCCGTCACGTTCTTCAGCAGTCCCTCTCTCTTCTCGAGTGGGCTCTGCGTCACTCGGTCCATCATTTCCCTCATCATGCTCATCTCCCCATTCGTCCTCCTGGACGGCTTACTTCATCTTTTTTTTCGGGATTCCCAACCGTTCCATCAAGAGTTTCCTCTCGGCTACGGGTTTCTAGTTCACCTCCTCAATAGTGATGTAATTCTCATCACTTACATGGTAGATGTTGCTACGACGGAGGCTCTGGGCATTGAAGATCATCCCGCCTAGGGGTTTAGCCTCAGACTGGCTCACATCTATCTTCTTCTTTACCATGATCGAACTTAGGATCATTCCATATGGAAAACTTAACATGTTGTCTGATTTGCAGAACTCCATATGTTTCAGCATAAGGGCGGGAAAATTGAATTTGACCTTGTGCTTAAGGAATTAATCAAAGGTACACTCGAGGCTTCCAACATCCTTGCTTTTATTATTGTTGGGCAATAGACTGTCCGTCACAATCATCACCGAGAGCTTTTGCTCGGCGGTTAACAATTACTTGTTCGGCCTTGTGGCCATGGTAATTCCGTCATCCCTTCCCAACAAAAAACTCAAGTAATCCTTGTACCCCATGGTTCGAGTGCGAATCCAAGCCTTTCGGTCATATTCCGATACACCCGTGGTGGTTAATTATAGGAGTTTGGCTAATCGGGCTTCACTCAACACCATTTTCTCACCCCGGACCTTGGAGGTGATTTCCAACTTGTCCCCGTTTTTTGTGGCTACCATGTGATGGTAGAATTCCTTTACCAACTCGGGGTACGTATCGCATTTGATATCCAAATACAGTCCCAACAAGCTTTGAAATTTTAGCATATCGATTAATTCTCTAGAGAATTGATCGGGTTTGAGTGTTTTACCTTTCAATACCGTATAATCGGCGTCACTCCATTCTGGGTTTCGGGCATTCGCGGGTCTCCTCGGCATTGTTAGACGAATTTAGGAAGTGGTTACGATCGGGGAT